ACAAAGCAGCACCCTCCCACCTGCCCATTGACATGCTAACCTGCCACCTTCAACCCTCCCTCCCTCCATCATCGACGCACAGCAGTAGCTGGGCTCATTAGGAATGCTCGGCTGAGCTCCAACATCAACGCACAGCAGCAGCAGTGTGTACCGTCTACAAGATGCACTGCAGCAACTCGCTGAGGCTCCTCCGACTGACAGCACCTTCCAACCCACCGCCATTACCCCCTGGAAGGACGAAGGGCAGCATACGCAGGGGGATCACCAGCCCTTGCAAGTTCCCCTTCCAGACCCCACACACCATCCCTACTGGGAACGATATCGGCTAATCCATTGCCGGGTCAGAATCCCAAACTGCCTCCCTAACGGGGCACTGTGTGAGGTGTCCCTATGCCACACGGAGGGGGCTGTTGCAGGTCCAAGAAGGCAACTCACCCCCACCTTCTCAACAGGGGTCAATTAGGGATAAATGCTAGCCCCACCAGTGAAGCCTACGTTCTTTGAATATTGAAATCAGATTAGTAGAAGGGAGATAGTGGGGGACTCAACACCCACTCATCAAGCCGCCAGTGGGGTAGGGTACAAGATCCCACTCAATCATTTCAACATTAAGGCGGTATCACCCTGAGTAGTTGAAGAATTGTCAGGACGAGGGTTCATCCTTCAGCTGAGCTTGACTGGAATGACAAGCGTGCTTTGCTGGTTTATTTTTGAACCTGACTGGTTTAACAGCAAGTGGAAATCCCCGTAAAGGCTAGAACAAACACTAATTGTGTTGGGAAGATAAATCCTGCTTGGCTTCATCTATCTCAGTTACAGCAATTCTATCTTCTGTAAATTGCCCAACCCTTAATACAGTTTACCTCACACACACGCACACGCACACGAACGGATGTATGATGACATTTCGGGAAATTACCTGGCTGACAGAGAAAGTAACACTACGTGCATGGGGGTTATCATTCTAATCCTGCCATTCATTCCCAGCAGGAATGTGTTTCTAGGTCAGAGAAGCAGAATCCAGCACACCTCCCCTCTCCCAATCCATGTGAAACTTCTCCCCCAACCTTGCAATCCCAATATTCCACAATATTGTCAACCCTAATATTCCACAATACGCCAAAGCAAGGGGCTGCTTACTAATCTGAACCTGCACCCGTATAATCCCGAGCCGAATACGTACTGGCTCTGGGGAGGAAACATGTATGGGCAGTGAAGGTACAGGATGACCCACTGTCTGGCACAGGCTGTGGTATTCACTGTCACAGTTCCCCTCTCTGTATCCCTTAGTCAGACCCACACTAGGAGCACCATGCACAGTTCCCGTCTCCCTATCCCTCGGTCAGACCCACACTCAGAGCACCGTGCACGGTTCCCATCTCTCTATCCCTCGGTCAGATCCACACTTGGAGCGCCGTGCAGAGTTCCCCTCTCTGTATCCCTCAGTCAGACCCACACTCGGAGCACCGTGCACAGCTCCAGTCTCCCTGTCCCTCGGTCAGACCCACACTTGGACAGCCGTGCACAGTTCCCGTCTCCCTATCCCTCGGTCAGACCCACACTCTGAGAGCCGTACAGAGTTCCCCTCTCTGTATCCCTCGATCAGACCCACACTCGGAGAGCCGCGCACAGTTCCCCTCTCTGTATTCCTCGGTCTGTCCCACACTCAGAGAGCCGTGCACTGTTCCCGTTTCCGTATCCCTTGGTCAGACCCACACTTGAAGCACTGAGGCCATTCCCTACTACCCATGCGAAGGTGGTCGTGAGCTACCAGTGTCTCACTAAGGACAGCTTGGAGGGCCTGAATGACACGCTCTGTTTAATGACTAACAGCTCCGTGCTGTGCCTGAATTTCAATGGGGGCGGGGGGTGGGGGTGGCCCTCCCACCCTAACTCTGCACTCAGTGTTGTTCGACGTGCAAACAGACGGTGAACTGGTGTATGTTTACAACACCAAACAGCACTGGCAGCATTTGTGCAGAGAGAGAAAGGTGGCTTAACGTTTCAGGTCCAGTGACCCCTGTTCTGAACGCTTGGCTTGGCTCTGAGTAGGGAGGGGGTGATTGCGCTGGAGCCAGTTCACCGGGGAAGGAAAATTGAAGCGATGAGGAAAGCTTGGATAGTTTTTGAGTGGTTTTCGTAGGAGAGGGGAAGGCTGAGGGGGCGATCTCATTGAGGCATACGAGAGTACGAGGGGCATGGACAGAGGGGATGAGGAGTAGCCAATCCCCTGCGTTGAAGGGGTCAGTAATAAAGGGACACAGGTTCGAGGTGAGGGCCAGGAGGCTCAGGAAGGAGGAAGTGAAGACAACCGTTTTTCCCCAGAGGGCGGTGACGGTCTGAAATACCCTTACTGGAATGCTGGGAGAAGCTAATTGCCTCATGATCATTAAAATGTACCTGGTTGGAACCGCCCACTGCTTAACATTTAAGGCTGCGGGCCAAGTGCTGGTAAATGGGATTAGACTGAAGGTCAGGTGCTTCTCACAAGTCAGTGCGGTA